GCTGTCTGCCCCCCTCTGTATCCCGGCGCAGGTGAGTCCCTGCATCCCTCCGGGATGAAGCTGAAGAAGCAGGTGACAGTGTGTGGAGCTGCCATCTTCTGCGTGGCTGTCTTCTCCCTCTACTTGATGCTGGACCGGGTACAGCATGATCCTGCGCGACACCAGAGTGGGGGCAACTTCCCCAGAGTGAGTCTGGGGTGGGTAAATGGGATCTGGGGATGGCAAACAGGGACATTCGGCTAGGGAAATTCATGGACTCAAAGCTGTGGGTCCCCTCCTGCTCCTCACCGTGGCCTCTGTCCCCCCCAGAGCCAGATCTCGGTGCTGCAGAACCGCATCGAGCAGCTGGAGCAGCTGTTGGAGGAGAACCATGAGATCATCAGCCACATCAAGGACTCAGTGCTGGAGCTAACAGCGCACGCGGAGGGGCAGCCAGCATTGCCCCATCACCCCCCGAACGGCTCCTGGGTGCTGCCCCCTGAGAGTCTCCCAAGTTTCCTCTCCGTGTCCCCACAGGACTGCCACTTTGCCCTGGGGGACAAGAGACACAGCCCAGACCTGCAGGTGGGGGGCTGGTGGCTCTGCCAGCATAAGGGCACCATACCTGGGCATCTGTGGGGTCCTGGCTCAATGCTTTTGGGGGTCTCTCAGCCCTGTCTCCCACCCACAGATGCTGGCTGTGTACTCCCTGCTGCCCTTTGACAACCAGGATGGTGGTGTCTGGAAACAGGGCTTTGACATCACCTATGAGCCCAATGAGTGGGACACGGAGCCTCTGCAGGTGTTTGTGGTGCCCCATTCCCACAATGACCCAGGTGAGCAGCAGGGGAGTGGAAGGGCTGGCTCAGCCCCATGGAAGGGCTGGGCTCCCTGCAGTGACCCCCACCTGTGCTGCCAGGCTGGATCAAGACCTTTGACAAGTACTACTACGACCAGACACAGCACATCCTCAACAGCATGGTGCTGAAGATGCAGGAGGACCCGCGCCGGCGTTTCATCTGGTCCGAGATCTCCTTCTTTTCCAAGTGGTGGGACAACATCAGTGCCCAGAAGCGGGCTACAGTGCGCAGGTAGGGCTGCCCACCTGGCCCCGCTGCCCACCTGGCCCACAGGCAGGCTGGAAGCACAGAGGGTGTGAGGGAAGGACCATGGGGGCAGGAAGGCTCCTGTAGCTGCAGCGCAGTGGCCATGGGCCTCTCACTGTGGAGTGCCCTGGCACTGCCAGCAATCTCCCAGTGCCACTGAACATCAGAGCTACTGCAGTGTGGGGTGAGAGCTGTATGCTGCCAGCACTGGGGTCTCTGCAGTGGGGGCTGAGGGGCTGGGGGAGGCAGGTCTTGCCCTGCACTGCTCCCTGTGTTCATGGGACTGGAAAATGTGTGCAAGGCCCAGAGCACTCAGTGGGGTGGGAGACCTGGAGAGCAGGATTGTGTGGTGGGACAGGGTCCCCTTGTCCTCCCACCACCCTGGGAGGGCTGGGAATGGAGAACACAGCAGAGGGTGTTGTCCTTTATGGGAAATGGGCTCTGGCAGGAGCCTTGGATGGTGTTGGGCTGTGGAGGGAAGTCTGTCTCTGAGGGGACAGCATGGGCAGTGGGGAATGGCAGTGGTGGCTGCAGGGCCTGCAGGTGGTACCCAGGGGGCTCAAGGCAGGGACACTCTGCCGTGGACACGTGGCTCATGCAGGGCTCTGGTCACATCTTGGGTGTCCCCCTCGCAGGCTGGTGGGCAATGGGCAGCTGGAGATGGTGACGGGTGGCTGGGTGATGCCTGACGAGGCTAATTCCCACTACTTTGCCATGATTGACCAGCTGATCGAGGGGCACCAGTGGCTGGAGAAGAACATCGGTGAGAGTGGGGCAGGTGCTGGGCAGAAGGGGCACAGTGCCGGCTGGGAGCCTTCCTAATGTGCTGTGGGCACCCTGGGCCTGGCAAGATCCTCTTGACAGGAGGTGTTGCCAGCCTGGTGCAGGGCTGATGGGTCTCTGTGCCCCCAGGTGTGACGCCACGGTCAGGCTGGGCGGTGGACCCCTTTGGATACAGCTCCACCATGGCCTACTTGCTGAAGCGCTCCAACCTGACAGCCATGCTCATCCAGCGTGTGCACTATGCCATCAAGAAGCACTTTGCTGCCACTCAGAACCTGGAGTTCATGTGGAGACAGACATGGGGTGAGGGGCTGCAGGGAGTGGACCAGAGAGGGGACCTGTGGGGTGGGTGGCAGCAGGGAATGGATACCAACCACTTCCCTAAACGCTGGAAGGGGATAGCTCCGCCTCCTGGAACAGCCCCAGGGTGACTCCCCATCTAGTCCTCATGCCCAGCATGCCAGGGGAGGCTGTTGTGCACTCTGGGCTCCTGGCTCTGCTCTGATCTGTCAGCCATCCTCGGGTCCTCCTGCTTGGGAAGAGGCAAGGGAGAGTCATTGTTGGTGCTCACCTGTCCTTGGTCCTGTAGATCCAGACAGCAGCACCGACATCTTCTGCCACATGATGCCCTTCTACAGCTATGACGTGCCACACACCTGTGGGCCAGACCCCAAGATCTGCTGCCAGTTTGACTTCAAGCGCCTGCCTGGGGGCCGGATCAACTGTCCCTGGAAGGTGCCTCCCCGCGCCATCACTGATGCCAACGTGGCTGAGAGGTGAGTGCGGCAGGGCAGGGCCATGCGACTCCCAGCCCTACGGCCTGCCTGGGACCAACCTCACGCCCTGACCCTTGCAGAGCACAGCTGCTGCTGGACCAGTACCGCAAGAAGTCCAAGCTGTACCGCAGCAAGGTGCTGCTGGTGCCCCTGGGAGACGACTTCCGCTATGACAAGCCACAGGAGTGGGATGCTCAGTTCCTCAACTACCAGCGCATCTTCGACTTCCTCAACTCCCGGCCTGACCTCCATGTCCAGGTGTGTGTGGGGAACTCCAGGGGACTGGGAGGAGCAGGAGGCCACCGCGGAGTGCAGATGGAGGGTGGGCAGTGCTGGGAGGGGTGCTGAGAGCCCCCACTGCCTGAGCCCCAGCTCAGGGCTGTGTGTGCTGTCCTGCAGGCACAGTTTGGGACACTCTCTGACTACTTTGATGCCCTGTACAAGAAGGTGGGCATTGTGCCAGGGATGAGGCCACCGGGGTTCCCAGTGCTGACAGGGGATTTCTTCTCCTACGCGGACCGGGAGGATCACTACTGGACAGGATACTTCACCTCTCGGCCGTTCTACAAGAGCCTGGACCGAGTGCTGGAGGCCCATCTCCGGTGAGGGGCAGTGTGCTGGGCCTGCAGGGCAGGGTGGGTGTGTG